ACAAAATATAACTCCTTTTTTTGTGATGTGAGATTGCTTCTTTCTCACCAGTTCAGACTGAGATTGATTCTGTCTCACCAGTTTAGACTGAGATTGCTTCTGTCTCACCAGTTCAGATTGAGATTGCTTCTGTCTCACCAGTTCAGATTGAGATTGCTTCTGTCTCACCAGTTCAGATTGAGATTGCTTCTGTCTCACCAGTTTAGACTGAGATTGCTTCTGTCTCACCAGTTCAGATTGAGATTGCTTCTGTCTCACCAGTTCAGATTGAGATTGCTTCTGTCTCACCAGTTTAGACTGAGATTGCTTCTGTCTCACCAGTTAAGATTGAGATTGCTTCTGTCTCACCAGTTCAGACTGAGATTGCTTCTGTCTCACCAGTTTAGACTGAGAAGCATTAGTGACAAAAAATCTACGTGATCAGTTGATTCGTCGCTTAAATAACGTCTCCACGTTCATCTTGCGCCAGTCGTGTCAACGAGGACAAGACCAGTAATAGCCTGTATTTAGACGTTTTCTTTGCCCACTTTTACCCTCACAACGACCCCTGATCATCACCAGTAACAAGCCTTTATAATTAATATAATGTGTCCTACACCCAGCACTAAGCAAACCTGGCCGCGATAATGTGTCACTATTGGGGCGAGCAGCTCATCCGCTAATTGTCCAACGTTCTAATTCCACTCGAAACAAATTGCAACAATTTATCTAACACCTACAACTTACCCCCGTAATTTTTACATTACACACAAATCACATGCTTTCAATGACCAACTGAAGGAAATTTAATATCAATTATACTTTTTTTCTGTATTTAACTTTAACTCAAATTATGTTCAATACATGTTCATGGTAAACGAAACTACTTTTAGGAATAATTGCTATTGAATTGAGCAACTTCAAATGTGTTTTTTTTAAAAATAATTTTATTCATTACAGATAGCTGTTATTTCATTCCAGTTGATTTTCGTTGTGTAAATCATGATTTAGTGGAAAAAACGAAAATGGGCTCCGGTTTCTAAAACAAATTTTAGCCAGCTTTTCATGCCTCCTTTATATTTTTAAACACTGTAAGGGGTGACACTTTGAAAATAAAAACTTTACAACGGCACGGGAATAGCGATGGCGTTAAAAAAAAGTGGGCCCACGTCTCGCGGTGTGACGTCATCTTCCCCGTTCAAGGAGAGTGGTGTCGTGACGTATGTTCAGAGAGCTGAGATTAAGTCAATAATTTTCTCGTGCTTAGGTACTGATGTTCCATCGAGCGCCTCCCCCAGGTGGCGGATAGCGGAAAGCCCATCAGACATGGAGGGTACCGGGGAAACAAAATACCCGGGGCGGACCAAGATCAGAACCTACTGCCTTGTAGGAAGTGGAGGGCTCCACAGCGGCTAAAGGTATGGGTACAGTCATGGACGCCCGCAGAAAACTTTCGGGGGGGGGGGGGCAAAAAAATTGATTAACTTTCCGGGGGGGGGGGAAAAGTTTTTTAGAAATGTTTTAATGTGGTTTTAATTTNGGGTACAGTCATGGACGCCCGCAGAAAACTTTCGGGGGGGGGGGGGCAAAAAAATTGATTAACTTTCCAGGGGGGGGGCAAAAGGTTTTTAGTAATGTTTTAATGTAGTTTTAATTTACTGTAGCGTATTTGTATGGTGAACGAAGGGACAGGACATCAGCTTAGTTACTTTCTCTTTATTTTCTCTTTACTCTAATAAATTTTTTGTCTATTTTTGTCTAAAATGTTTTTACCCAATCAATCCAGGTGGGGGGGGGGCAAGTGCCCCACTTTGCCCCTACCTGCGGGCGCCCATGGGTACTTTGAAAGCTATTTAGATGAGATCAGTTCGATATTTATTTATTTTTTTAAAAACTAATTTTGCTTGATTAAAGCGATAGTAATAAAAGTTAAAATAACAAGTGTCTGTGACAATTAATCAGGTTAAACTTGATTTGTATCATTCCACCGTTCCTTCTTTGATAATCACATACCGCGTCATTCAATGAATTTAATGAAAGAAAGGTCCACATTTTATGATTACTTACAAAATGGATTCTTTATTTTCTCAGTTTTGGTCGCCCAGTCGTGGTTTTATTGATTCCTATTGTGTAAACAAGAAAATATGTTTGAATTATGTATTGTCTCACAGAAGCATAAAAAAAGCTCACGACTCTGTGATGAGAGACAACCGCTCTCGGCGTCACTTCCGTCCAGATATAGCCAAGGTTATTTAAAGTTTATTTCATGCGGTTCTTTACGAATCAATCAAATTAATTTTCACAGTCATGATGATGTGCTGATGCGTTAAACACACAATTTTTTTTTTCCATAACGCACCATCGTGTTATACCATATAGATAGTCGTGTGTTGTAGGTCGAACAACTCTCAGAACATTGGGCGGACATCTGCTGCATCCACCATCACCCTTCCATGTAGATATACGTAGCCCAGGCAAGGGACTTTTAGAGCTCATCGATCTTTAAATCGCCTTTCAGAAGGACCCTCATGTCGACTGGCAAGAATCGGACTCGGAATTTAGACCATAGATGGGATGACTTAAAACAGGCTTTGAAATTATCAACACACTTGTCTGGATGAAAGTCGGGTAGTATGTGACTGAAGTCTCCAGCCAGTAGCACATTCATCCCACCCATAATGCACTTAGTACTCCGGATATCCAGAAGAGTTCTGTCCAGTGCTTCTATTCCACACCCCCCCCCCCCCAAACCAATCAACACTTTCTCGAAATGTTGCACAAAGGATCATCGGGGTGAATGAAGCTGAGAGACAGTTTGGAGAGAGAGAGAGAGAGAGAGAAAAGGAGAGAGAAAGAGAGAGAAAGCAAGCTGTCTTTCCACTTTCCAACTTGCTGCCGTACACGAGGAAGCTACATAAATTGGGAGTTTTATTTTCTTACGCTATCAAGCCTAAAAAATTAATTAAAAGGTGGATTTTAAAAAACGAAAAGCCGTCGAGAAACTGAAACAACGGTACTGTAACTTAGTGATAGAACTGTCTTTGGGTAGCGTTGAATCTTGTCAGTTTTGGACAAACTGATTCAGGTTGCTTAACCACGCCGTAGGAGGACATCTTATAGTTTCGCCATTAGCATTGGCTTAGTTAAGATTACGAGTCGGACGGTAAAGGAAGGCCAAACTTTAATTGTTTGGCTAGACACTGAAAATACTACGTTATTGCCTGACTGATGACTCTGAGTAGCCTGCATTATTGTCTGACCCATGACACTGACTAGCATACGTTATTGTCTGAATGATGGCTCTCAGTAACCTACTTTTTCTTGTGGCTCATTAAAATTTCTGCCACAGAATTCAATTCCACAATTCTTTTGCTGCCCTCTCGGACATTACGTCTCAACTAAGTGCTATATTTTTTATACATTTTATTTTGTGTTTTTTTCTGTTGTTTGTTCGCTGAATAAGGCTTCCTGCAGACACTTTCGTTGTTTTGTTGCTTTCCTTTTTTTCAGGTTTAATCTTACTTTGTTTTACTTATTACCTAGCCATTTCACTGCTTATCCAGTTAGCAGTTCGTAACTTACTTCCTGATAACATCACAGCAATGCAAAGTCACATATTTCGTATCAGTGGTTAAATGGTTGTTGTGAGGTTGGGGACATTTTTCTACGATGCCATACGGACTGCAAGTTGATGCAAGCGACATTTTAATAATGTCCACAAAAAAAAAAAAAAATATAATGTGGGCATGGTGAGAGATTAGTAATTGGGGCTAAATTATTTCAAAAACAATAACTCTACATTAAAGATGGCATTAAATAAAAACCAGGCACTCTTTTACATATATAGACATTGATGCACAAACATGCATCTAGAATCTAATCTAGTGCTCTATGCTATAAGAATCTAGTCCAGAGCTCAATGCTAGAATCTAATCTAGTGCTTTATGCTAGAAAAAATCTAGTGCTCTATGCTACAATCTAATCTAGTGTTTTATGCTAGAATCTAATATAGGTCTATATGCTAGAATCTAATGTGGTGCTATATGTCAGAATCTATTCTAGTACTCTATGCTAGAATCTAATCTAGTGCTATGTACGAGAATGTAATCTAGTGCTCAATGCTAGAATCTAATATGTTAATCTATGCTAGAATCTAGTGCTCTCTGCTATAATCTAATCTAGTGCCCTATGCTAGAATCTATTGCTCTTTGCTAGAATCTAGTGTTCTATACTAGAATCTAGTGCTGTGTGCTAGTATAAGAAGAGTTATGTATTAAAGAACGGAGTTAAATCGTCCAAAAACATGCTTGCCTTGTTCAATATCACGAAGGTGTTCACTTAACCTATCAGAATCAGATAGTCTTCTTCTCGTCTCACTTGTATAACAAACAATTACAATTGGGCAAAGAATGACATCGATCACATTGCACCTATTACATGTGAAGTCTCTTTTTAATGGTCAAAGTCCCCCAAGTGAATTCAATGTGTTATGCTTCCGATACATAGGGTCGAGTACCACAACTTGTTGAACATTAGCAGAGTGTATTGATTTATTGAAGTTCAAATAGCATGGACACAAGTGCTATATAAGTATTCAGGAAAATCAAAAATCAAATCAAGTTGTAGTCCGGTGATGTTAGCTTCCATTATCTGTTCTGTCATTTTTAAATCAACTCAATTATCAAACTTCATTTCTAGATCAACAACTTGAGATTTTAAAAAGCAACTAAAATAATTGGACGGAGAAAGACCTTTGTGACTAGTGAGAATGGATCCTAAGTTGAATAATTGACAAAATTTATGTCACTGTCAAAGAAAAGTAACAACAACAACGAACATATTTTTAAAACTTAACCTCACGATAAAGAAATGTCAAAGCAGCCATTGTGCAAAGTATAAAAAATATTTATTAATGCTTTTAATAATGAAATATGCCATAATGGATAGCTCTAATAAAACAAAATATATACAAATTATTTTGTCTAAATTGCTAAAATATATACATTTAATTTGACAAAATATCGTTCAAAATATTATTATATTCTTATAAAACAACTAAAGCAAAAAATAAAGTTAAAAGGTTCAATAAAAATTTGACAACAATGAATGAAAAGTTTTCATGTATTTAATAACAGCACAAGTTGCCATTATTCTCTGTGATCTTTTTTTTTTAGCTTTGATGACATCTTTGTTTTAGTCTTTAAATGTAAGTCCATGACATTAACCTTCATTTTATACTTTGACTCATGCATAAATGTAAATTAGTTACAAAACTTGTTTTCTTAACTATACAAAACTTGTTTTCTTAACTATACAAAAATTGTTGAACTAAATTTTGAATGGAATTGCAGGATTTTTTGTTTTATTGCTACAAATAGATGTGAGGGAATGATGGGCTCAATAACTGAGAAGTAAGATCTGTGCTTCAGTGTGAATAATGAAAAGTGTCTTCGAGTTATTATTTAAAATATAACATAACAGATTTTTTTTAAAGAGTAGTACATTGTTACAGAAGTGCACTGTTAGTGAAGTGCACTGATACAGGAGTGCACTGTTCTAATATCAGTTTTCCTTCTGAACAATAACAAACAAAAGAAAAAACAGTAGCAGCCTTATCTCTGTGAGGAAGAAATTTTTCACCATTTCTTGTTGAGGCAAAATGAATGTTACAAAAATGATAAATAATGAGAGATTTTCCCCAACTTAACACATTCTATAATGCACTTTCAGCTATTTGCCATTTCATGATAAAATATTGTCAAGCACTGAATTATTCAATCATCTGCCCCTATTGTTTACATAATTTTACAATAGGAAATAAATTATTTATTTTTTTAAAAATCAATACTTTCGCCTTATGGTGTGCATGTTGGCTAATCAAATTGATCTTTTTATGTGTAGAGTTATCAAGTAGTGTTTTTCAAAGTGTAAACATTTGAACTAAACACAATATGGCAAGTATCCAAGCTGGCAGACTAAAAAAACATTTTGTTATACAGTTTCTAAAAAAAATTCATTGTTTTGATTGGAGTATTTAAGTAGAAGTCTACTTACAAAGATTCAAGCATTTAAGTGTATACCTGCTTCATGGGTAGTGAAGTCCACGAGTCTTAATTATCAAGACTGTTTAATACTAACTTATAAGACAAATATAGAGGATCTACATGAAGTATTGGTAAAACTGAACAAAAATGTATGATGCAAGAATAAAGGTTAAAGGTTCAAAGAACAATAAACGTTTGACTGGACGGATGGGTAGTTTATCACATATCAACAACAGTAACAAATATTGGCTGAGAAAATCAAAAGTTACTGATCATACTTGACTCTGTTAATTGTTTGGTTGTCTTTTGTTGCAAATTTTCATAGTTGAAATAGTTGGAGAAAATATCATTTGTATGGGATCACGTTACTAACATACAGCCGTGTATAGATAATACATGATATATAGATTGAATGAAGTGCAAGATAATATTGTGATCTTTATTTACAACATGGTTAATGAGGGGGGGGGGCGGACAAAAAGTCATATGTGCATATTTATTAGATGTGCTTAGCTGGTAACAAAAAAATCAGCGGAACAGTTTATAGAAATTTATATATGACACCTTTCCTCCCCATGAATATAAAGCTAAAATGCAACATAAATAGTATGCAATATTATGAACATAAGGCTGGGATGATTTGATTTACATTAAATAAGGAAGAGATAAAAATTTCATTAAATATTTAAAATGGTAGGCTATACTTAATTAATAATATCATGTAGGAAAATATGGTTTTTAATAATGCAGCAATGTTGAGACAGTTGTGTCATGAAGATCTAGTTGACCACTAAACTGGTGGTGTGGTCACAGACTGCCATACCTTAGAGGTGTGTTGTGGAAATGAAAAGAACTTCAATAAATGTATTCAAATCTGCATTAAGTCCAAATACCTTAAAAAGCATCCTGTATTTACATATTTCTATCTCTACTGTAATCGTAATAGTGAATTAATTTTATTTGGACACCACATTATTTTCTTTAATGTGAAGCGTTGCACATTACAACGTGGAAACCGATGTAAGAAAATATCAACTACAAGGAATGACTTAAACTTAAATTGAGTGCAGCACAAAGTAAGAAAAGTCCAAACCATCCTATGGTGAATTAAAAAGCTAAACCATTTCGAGCACATCAAATGATGATAGTCACTACTAAGAAACGAATCATTTTTATTTACTGCCTTTACAATGATACAACAAGACTAAAGTCATAAGGAACAAATTTCTAGTCTTCAATTAACATTAATATAAATATTTATAGCCACAGAGAACATGTCATAAATATTCACAAGAAATTTGTTTTGGCACCAGAATTATTGAATAAATATCACAGAGTTTATAGAAACAAAGAAACTGCAGCACAGCATGCACACAAGTTTCTGTACTGTAACAAACAATGAATCTCATGAAATAAAAACATTTATATAGATGTCTTGTCTCTTATTTAGCATAGATTTATATAGAGATGCTACATTTTACACAAAAAATGACTACAGTGAGGTATGAGAGGTTTAGCCCCTTAATAAAATGTATTTACTGAAATATATAGGCCCTACAATTGTTTTTTTTTAGTTTAACATGAGCCAAATATTTGGTGAGATATTTGTTTGAGCACTCTGTCATTTTGCAAGAAGGTTAGGTCTGGATTCTCCGCTCCTTGATAGGACCTTATTAGAGACAGTTAATGCTCAAGTAAATGGAATGTTCTAAAGCCGAATGGTAATGCAAACGTAAGTCTCATTCTTGGCTTGAAATATGTTTTTTGACACATTCAGCATGTTTCATCTATTAAACAAATGTGTTTTTACTTGTCATGCCACATGCTGTATTGCTGCATAGTTTTGTCTTAGATGCAACATTCAGTTCATTGGTAGGTTCCAATAACCATTGATGTTTCGTCCGACATGAATATGACATTACTGGATTGCAGTCTTTTACTTTTCAACTGGTGTTCTGTCAGAGTTTGTGTCAGATGTGGGTGTATTTTGCTGCAACGACTCATTTGAAGACTCTGGGGGTTTAGAGTCCCGAGGAGTCTCACTTGTGTTGTCTGGTGCTGCAGCACTCACCACAGGGTTGGTTGTCGATTCCGATGCACTTGATCGGGCACTCGACCAGTTGGTTGTAGTGCCTGAGTTGTCTGTCTTTGTTTCTGACCAGTATTCAATTTGATTTTTTGTGTAAACCTCAAATGTTTTTAAGTTTTCTTTACCATTCTTTGCTCTTAAGCTCTGTTGTGCAGTGCTTTCCCTTGCATCAAGAGTAGCTGGTCCCGCCAAAAACCTAAAATTAGGCCAAGGATAGGCAGGTTGTGGTGGACTGGACAGTGGGATTGTCATGGTGCCTGGTCTCTTAAACCTGGTCTCTGGTCTCCTCTGTGGTGACATATTTGGTGAGGGCTTGGTTGACGGTGCTCTCTCTGGTGAAGATGATAATATATCCGGTACAAAACTTGTCAACTTACGTTGACCCCTGACCAAGTGATCACGGGCGTAAGCAGCAAATGATGGCTCTGGTCCCATGCCATTGGTGCTAGGATGTAGGAGAAAAAATAACTTAGTGAATAAAATAGCAAAGTGTTAAGGCTTAAATATTCCAGAATATTTGTAAAAAAGCAATAGAAACAAAAAAACAATGACGTAAGGATAAAAAACACTACAGAATTATGTCATTAGTTATAAAAATTGTTCATAACATTTTAAACATATTGTTAACTAAATTTAACAGATCTTACAATCCCTTTTGAAGTGGAGAAGATGTTGAGATGCTGCCATTTTTTGCTGTTGAGATCTTGTACGATGGTGAATACTGTTGATAGTTTTAAAAAAATAATGTCAATGAAATTTACACTGGACTTGTTTTACAATACAATGAAATGACAACAAATTATGATTAGAGACCTTAATACATAGTACAAGTTCTTTCGTAGGTTCTACCCTAAGAGTTAGTTGGTGGTTCCAATAACTACATATAGGTGACTCACATCAAGCTAAAAAAATACTTTTGTTGTAGCTAGCCACTGGACAGAGACAATCAACAGCTTATAGTTAAAGAAACATAATAATTTCGCAGAGAGGGGAGAATTATTTAGATCTATTTGTTGAATTATTAGAAGATAGGGCATGCTCATACATGAATATTAAATAAGTCACTTACACTGTAAGCATGATTTCTGTAAGGAGCATTACTTGTCTGTCTCCTGGACAACAAATATTGCGTAAGTTAGAATAATGTGTGCATTTTTTGTTCTCATCAATATGGAGTGTGTCAAGGAAAAAAGGGAACCCTTTTAATAATGATTGGTCAGTGGAGAGTGCGTCTTGAAGCCTGTATTGACACTTATGGTGGGCACTTCAAAAACAAACTGTAGTTTAATCAAATTTAACATTATGTTAGAATTAAAATGAGTTTTGTAATTTAAACAAATTGAATAATATTTACCATTAGATTTCATCATTATAAAATAGGGTTAACTTCTTTCAGGAACACAGTGTGGATTTTAAAAAAAAGTATACATTCTAGGTGATAGGTCTTAAAATTACAAAATTTGACAAAATAGTTTTAATGATACAATTTATTAAAATTTAATAAATTGTATCATTAAAACTATTTTGTCAAATTTTGTAATTTTAAGACCTATCACCTAGAATGTATACTTTTTTAAATTTAAATCAAATCTCTTGTGGCATGTGTAAATGTGATGACATTTTTACAGGAATGCTCGGTCATTTCTTTGTTTAATTATCATGTTTAAAAGAGAATAGAAAAAACATGGATGATGGCTACTTATTACCTTTCCGATTGGTTCATCTGATGTCTCCTTTCGTCCAGCAGACGCAGCACTTCATGTGCTTGTTCAATCTGGATTTGGTTCTGTCTGCGCACCTCATTGGACTCTTCTATCAGTCTGTCTGGGTGGAGATCTCTACTGGAGTAGGATGCCACCACGTTAGTTCTGAAGTCTGGGGTCATGTCTCTCAGTGCTGGATCTGCTCTATGAGACTTTGGAAGCTGGTGGTGTATGGGGCTGGGCAGTGTGCTCAATGAGTAGGGCGAAGCCCAGGCAGAATACACGCTCTCAGGTGGTGAACCTGACAGCCTGAACACACTTGATGTCTCTGACCTGGTTGGGGAACAAGATGAGGCCCGGTAGGCCCACTGAAGATGGGTTGGACGTTGTGATGAATGGGGTGATGAATGGGGTGATGTAGAGTGCGGTCTTAACTCTGTCCTATCCCAGGCAGAACTGTCCACAATTTGGCGCCTCAGACTGACCAGATGGTCTCTCCTTTGCCTGGGTGTCATTAACCTCGGACCTGTCGTTGACGAACTCTCGAATGAAGAGGATGATGTTTTGAATGGATTATAGCATTTCCTTGCTTTCTCTCTCTCATACCGACACTGTTCTCTCAATCTCTCCAATTGGAAGGCTTCAATCTCTGCTCGTCTCCTCATTTCCAGCACATCCCGGCCTCTTGTTTTGCGTCGTCCCCGTATTCCCCTTTGTTTTCTCTCCTGCGTTTCCAAACAGGATTCAAAATGTTTTCTGCTTTCATTAAGCTGTGTTTTGTATTCCTCCAGGTACTCCCTTGTCACTTTAATCAATGTCTGGGACCTTGTGGGCTGTGTGTCTTCATTGCCCCAAGCATCTTCTAAATTAGCGAGAAGCGTGTCCGTCTGCCCGATGCAATAGTTAAGCTTGGCCTCCAGCAGCTCAATGGTCAGACTGGACGGAAGGTAGTGAAGAGAAAGTAGTTCAATAATCTCAATTCTCTCATTGTGAAGCTTATCCAGCTCTCTCTGGATGGTGGACATGTCGTGGCTGTCCCCTTCTGACGAGTAGGACATGCCAAGCTGGTTCGACTGCCGTGAGTTGTCTCTGACCGACTCCATGCTGCTGTCGGCCGGCTCAACATACTCGGTCTGCGTGGAGTCATCCAGGCTGTGTATGTTGACCCCTGTCCCGACGCTGACCATCTGCCGCATTTTGAGAGTAGACATGGAGAAGGCAGAGTCGGCGTCATCATCTAAGATGGCGTGTATTGTTAGCGGCGACAGTGTTGAACCCCTTGAGGTAGTGCTGGAACTGTCATCATTGCTTGACTTGCCAGCTGAGCTGTCCCATAATGAAACAGCAGTTCTTTCAGAATCTTTGAAGAAAACTGAACTTCTCGGGTCTTCCTCATCAGCTTGACTAAATTCATGACTGAGTCCCTTGTGACTTGCATTATTCTTCATCTCTTGGCCAGCTGCTTGCAGACTTTTCCTGCCGTCTGGCTGATTTGTTACTGAGACCGAGACGAAAGCTCCTTTGTTGGCTTCTGAGTGCAGGGACACTGATGGTGGGCCGGTTGATGTCGATGTTTCCAGGTCAGTTATTGAAAGCTCATCCACCTGTGAACCGAAAGATCTAGAAGGATAGCTGTCCTCTGTCCATTTATCTTCATGAGATGATGAGAAAGTTTGGCTGAAGGAGTCTACAGTTTTAGACAAGGCTTTGCATAATGTGTCTTTGTAGGTGTCAACGGAAAAACCGGATGCATCAGTGTTTGTACCCACACTATGGGTCATTCTTGGTGACTGTGAACTCTGCTGATAGTCACGGTATCTTTTGGGGTCAGTGTTGGCAAAACTGTCCTTGACCCCCACCGGTCTGATCCTGCTACTCAACTCTATCCCTCCCTCACTTCTGTCAACTATTTGAGGTGGGGATTCACTATGGCTTGCAGATTCCAGGAAAGGGCTTACCCCAGTGCTTCCCCCTACGGAACCATGCCTGGGGATCACTGTGACTGGGGAATCTCCACTGGAAGAATCAGATTCCATAACATACACAGTGAGGGATTCTCGCACCGGATTCGACAAGACTTTCTTTTTCTTGGATTTCTTCTCTCGTGATCTTTCCAGCAGACCCATCATCTTTGTGTGTTCAGATCTCAGTTTCTCAATTTCATTCAGAATTTCATAATTTGAAATCGTTACATCAGGGATCTCGGTGCCAGCATTTCTTTGCCTAGCTAAAGGTGACCTCTCCCTGGCATTTACTCTAGATGCATCAACATCAGACGTCTCTCCATCACCGATTCTTGATGAATGGTTTAGATTGTACTGTGGGTTAGAATTGTGGTTCTGGTCCATTAAAGCATCCATTGCAGGATAAGTAAATACTTTGGCACTAAGATCCAGAACCTTGTTGTCTGCATTTGCAAATTGAATTGTGTTTGAACTGTCTTCTAGTGCACCTGGTTTCTCTGTTTGATCAGGGGAATTTCGTGATAACACCTCATCCTTTGTTAAACTGGAATGTTTTGATTGTGAAGAATTGTCTTGCGCTGGTTGTGATAGGCGTGTCTTTTCATCCCTGTTATCTACTGAACTTGTCTTTTCATCCCCTTTGTCTAGTAAACATGTCTTTTCGTCATCTTTGTCTACTGATCTTGTCTTTTTGTCACCTTGATCTAAACGTATTTGAGAAGCAATATTGTCATTGTGTTCCTCATCAGAACCTTCCTGTGGTAACATTCCTCCGTGATCTAGGTCAGTGACCTCTGTCGATGCTAAGGATGAGAGCTTTTCCCTGTCGGAGCTCCAGAACACTAATGATCCACGTTCTACAGTTTGTGAAGGTTGCAATATCCCTTTGTGTATTGCCACAGTCTCCTCTTTCTTGTAGCTAAGCTCCCCTCCATGCTGACATCTTATAGATGGATGAGGAGAGGATTCCCAAGATTGACTTTGTTCCACACCTGATTCAAGAATCTCAGTCAGGGAATGTCCTGTTCCCCTGACAGCTGGGCCCTCATCCATCATCGCTGTATGTCTGTTGGTTCTGACCAACAATGAGGGAGTCTCAGCTATCGTCTCTTCTTTCCTGTAACTGACCTCGCCACCAACATCTTGAGCTTCTCTTATACTCTCATCAAATGTAATGTCATCTTCTCTGTCCCATTCACGTATCAGTTCAGGATCTACATCATCAGTGGATTCCCTGTAGGAGATTGCTGATCTGATGATCTCTTGAGCCAGTTCCAATATCTCAAGATGTCTCCTTCTCAATTCACTGTCAATTTCATGGTCCACTGCCTCACCAACCTCAAGCCTAACAGATGACGTTTCCTCCCTGGCTGTATGGCAGTTATTACTGACTGTTAACGACTGTTTATTGGTGTCTGATGTGACATCCAATGTAGATGACTGTTTATTGGTGTCTGATGGGACATCCTCTGTAGACAACTGTTTATTGGTGTCTGATGTGGCATCCATTGTAGACAACTGTTTATTGGTGTCAGATGTGACATCCTCTGTAGACAAGTGTTTATTGGTGTCTGATGTGACATCCAATGTAGACAACTGTTTATTGGTGTCAGATGTGCCATCCACTGTAGATGACTGTTTATTAGTGTCTAATGTGCCATCCACTGTAGACAACTGTTTATTGGTGTCTGATGTGATATCCGCTGTAGATGACTGTTCATTGGTGTCTGATGTTAAATCCTCTGTAGACAAATGTTTATTGGTGTCTGATATGACATCCAATGTAAATGACTGTTTATTGGTGTCAGATGTGACATCCTCTGTAGACGACTGTTTATTGGTGTCTGATGTGAAATCCTCTGTAGACAAATGTTTATTGGTGTCTAATGTGGCATTTATTGTAGACAACTGTTTATTGGTGTCAGATGTGACATCCTCTGTAGACAAGTGTTTATTGGTGTCAGATGTGACATCCTCTGTAGACAAGTGTTTATTGGTGTCTGATGTGATATCCAATGTAGATGACTGTTTATTAGTGTCTGATGTGCCATCCACTGTACACAACTGTTTGTTGGTGTCTGATGTGACATCCACTGTAGATGACTGTTCATTGGTGTCTGATGTGAAATCCTCTATAGTCAACTGTTTATTGGTGTCTGATATGACATCCAATGTAGACAACTGTTTATTGGTGTCTGATGTGACATCCTCTGTTGACAACTGTTTATTGGTGTCAGATGTGACATCCAATGTAGACAACTGTTTATTGGTGTCAGATGTGACATTCTCTGTAGACAACTGTTTATTGGTATCTGATGTGACATCCAATGTAGACAACTGTTTATTGGTGTCTGATGTGAAATTCACTGTAGATGACCGTTTATTGGTGTCAGATGTGACATTCTCTCTACATGACTGTTTATGGGTGTCTGATATGACATCCAATGTAGACAACTGTTTATTGGTGTCAGATGTGACATCCAATGTAGATGACTGTTTATTAGTGTCTGATGTGCCATCCACTGTAGACAACTGTTTATTGGTGTCAGATATGACATCCTCTGTAGACGACTGTTCATTGGTGTCTGATGTGAAATCCTCTGTAGAAAACTGTTTATTGGTGTCAGATGTGACATTCTCTGTAGACAACTGTTTATTGGTGTCTGATGTAACATCCAATGTAGACAACTGTTTATTGGTTTCAGATGTGCCATCCACTGTAGATGACTGTTTATTAGTGTCTGATGTGTTATTCACTGTAGACAACTGTTCATTGGTGTCTGATGTGACATCCACTGTAGATGACTGTTCATTGGTGTCTGATGTGAAATCCTCTGTAGACAACTGTTTATTGGTATCTGATGTGACATCTAATGTAGACAACTGTTTATTGGTGTCTGATGTGACATCCTCTGTTGACAACTGTTTATTGGTGTCAGATATGACATCCTCTGTAGAGGACTGTTTATTGGTGTCTGATGATGTGAAATTCACTGTAGATGACCGTTTATTGGTGTCAGATGTGACATCCACTGTAGACAACTGTTTGTTGGTGTCTGATGTGACGTCCACTGTAGACAACTGTTTGTTGGTGTCTGATGTCACATCCAATGCAGATGTCTGTTTATTGGTGTCAGATGTGACATCCTCTGTAGCCAACTGTTTATTGGTTTCTAATGTGACATCCACTGTAGATGACTGTTTTTTGATGTCTGATGTGATATCCATTGTAGATGACTGTTTATCAGTGTCACATATGATAGCACCAGCAGAATATAGTTCATTTATGCCTAAAGTGAAAGCCCCAGTAAATGAATGATCATTTGTGTCTGATCTGACAGCACCTGCAGAAGATAGTTCATTGGTTATGGATGTGGCATCCCGTGCAGAGGACTGTTTATTGGTGTCTAATGTAACGTCGTCTGTAGATGACAGTTTAGTTGTGTCTGATGTCACATTGCCTGCAGAAAACTGTTTGTTAATGTCTGACTTGACACTTTCTGTATAAGACTGTTTATTGTGTTCAGATGTGACAGACCCTGCAGAGGGCTGTAATTCTAATTGACTTCTTAATTCATCAGCTTTATGTATGACGACAGATCTTATCTTTTCAACAGATTTTTCTGAGTCTACTGATAGTATCCTTTCGCTGTCGTTTTCATAAAATGTACCATTGTCAGGCTGATTGTATTCAGTAGATGTGTAGCTGGCATACTTGTTGAATTCTTCATTGTTTTGAGCTTCTAATACATCGTCTCCATCGAGTACAGCTAAAGCCACAGCTCTAGAGAGCCTCTCTGCATCATTCAGGTCCCTGTGTAGAACCTCCTCTTCATCTAGTTCATTGGTCAGGATTATTGTAGGAAGCTCATCTGTGTAGACTGACACTGATGGCGTCAGTCCCAATAGAGGGTACACCAGCTGGCCAATGACAGGATTTGATGTATCAAATGGTTCATCGTTTCTGGACGCTGCCAAAAACGCGTTTGTGGAATTCATTCTTAAGTGACCTATGGGTCCAAAATTGTCCGGACCCGCGTTATGCCCGAAACCTTCCACTCCTACACTAGACACAATATGTTGTCCGTTGTTTTGGTCAAGAATTGTCCTGCCCACTTCACGATGGAGCACTTCAAAATAAAGCTTGGGCTTATCATCAATTTCATCTTTCATCTCGTATTCATCCTTATGACCCCGTCTCAGCCTCCTTTTGCTCTTCTTGTTTATGGGAGGAGTCTCCTCTCCAAACAGGTAAATGCCACCACTCTCCCATGTTTCTGTCGCATGTTCACCAGAGTACCAGGTTCCAGCACCAGCCGCTGACCGCTCTTGTTCTTTATACTTCGTGTGGTGTCTGTCTGCTCCCGGTGTCTCAAAATCTGTGACAATACTCAGAATGTTAAGGTTCTCAGCCCTGTAAGGATCATCTCTTGCAGAGTCCATGGCTTCCTCTGCGGCATGTTTAGCGGCTTCTGTGATGGACAAACTGTCTTCATCGGCTGAACCAACTCCACTTGGTGATGTTTCCTTCTTTCTTTTCATCCTCAGGACACCAGTTGGTGATTCATCACTTGAACTGGTTTCACCGTGAGCTGCTAGAGGTATTATCCTGATATTTCTTCTCACCACTGTATGGCTACTGTGACGTCTGAGTTTTGGGAAAGAGGATATTTCTAGACATTCCAGTTCCGGTAAATCTATTTCATCCAAAATGCAAATTTCATTGGGACTGACTAGCTCCAAATCCTGGGCAACCTCCTCTGTATCATCATCTCCAGTTGTGTCATAAAGTTGTTGTGTTGGAAGTACATAACTGATGATGGGATTCAATTCTTGAGAGATACCTGTTCCATCTTCTGTTGCAGTCAACAATAGTTGACATCTCTTATGTTCCTCTGTTGGTAAATTTTCTAAATGCTGTTGTTGGTCTTGGATGATGGATGCTTGAAGTTTATCATGCATCAAGTCTGAATCAAGGATCAAACCAATTTGAGCAGCTTGAAGTTTTTCAGTTAGTTCAAAAAAAGGTTTGTCATGTTTTCCTGACTGTGTTGAATTAGTGTTCGTGTCCTCTATAATGTCCCCTGTTTGTACAATGAGTGGATCTCCATCAGTGGTGGAAACATATGCTGAATCATTAGTTATTTTGGAGAACCCCTGAAATGATGAACTTGGCACTGAGGAGGACCTGACTGAGGACACACCAGAGTCTCCTGTGCCGTCATTGTAAACTGACGCCCTTGGACTGTTCGGCAGCTGACCCTTAGTTTCAGACATCTTCAAGTCAGGCTGATCAAACACCTGCAACGTTGTCTTTACAGTCTCAAGCCCTTGCTGCTGTGTGGCTGGGTAGTATACTGCTGAGCATTTGAAGGGTATTCTTTTAGGTTTACTCTTAAAAATTGCAGCCAGCTGAGCGTTGAGGTCCTCAGGATTACTCTGTCTTCTGATGTGCTTCTTCTTCTTCATCTCACCTGTGAAGCTTCTTGTTCTGTAGCGCACATACTCCTCCTGATCACCTGGAACGGCCAAGGTAAAAAAGTCATTATCCTCTGGTTGTTTATCAGCTGTGGGTGCAGGAATCTGCATGAAAGGTGGTGATTCACCTGAGCCCGTACCGCTTGTTTTGTCAATGTGGATTACAAATCCAGATAATTTGTTGTAATATTCAGAGCCTGGTACGTAACCAATCTGAGACTGAGTATTTGGCCGTTTTTGTAATTTCTGTAAAGATATTTGATCTCTTTCAAAGCTGAGCTCCTGTCCAGGTGTTTCAGCTAGTCCTGATATTTCAGCTAGGTCTGATGTTTTAGCTAGTCCCTGTGTTTCAGCTATACTTGATATTTCATCTAGGTCTGACGTTTTAGCTAGTCCTGCTGTTTTAGCCAGTCCTGATATTACAGCTAGTCCTGATATTACAGTTAGTCCTGATATTTCAGGGAGTCCTGGTGTTTCCGCTAGTCCTGATATTTCAGCTAATCCTGATGTTTCAGCTAGGGCTGATATTTCAGCTAATCCTGATGTTTCAGCTAGGTCTGATATTTCAGCTAATCCTGATGTTTCAGCTAGGTCTGATGAATCCCCAATGTTCTTTAAGTCACCTGTGATTATTTGGTCACATTGATTTTCCTTGAAGAGATCTCTATCCATTTTTTGTGACCTGCTGTTGAAATCTAAGTTTTGTAGCTCTTTAGCATATGGGACTGAACTCATCTGTTCGTTATTTTGTACTACATCTGTGAGAGTTAACATTCCTTGAGTAGTCATTTGAGGTGATTTCCTGCTTGCCTGGGTTACATTTGTGCCAGGTGGATGTTTATCTGATCGAGATACAAATCTGTCTGAGAGTTGTGCTGAATTTTCTGTGATGCCCAATTTGTCTTCTGTTTCTTGTCTTGGTGATTTGTCTTGCTGTTGTAGGTTGTCCAGCTGCATGTTATCAGTTCCTGTTTTATCAGATTTCATGGTCTGATTGTCAGCGTCTACTTGTTGGTCACTTAACATTGACTGACCTTCATGTTGATCACCTGACCCTGATTGAAGGTTGTCAGCAACACCCTCATGTTGGTTACCTGACTTAGACTGATGGTTGTCATTAACACCTTCACTTTCGTCCCATGACTTTGACTGAAAGACTGCGAGGGCTTTTGTACTTGTGCCTGTAGATGTGTCCACCTCGCCAACTTCCTGTTTTGTTAAAGCACTTACGACTTCATCCATGACCCTGCTGTCTTTGAATATGCCAGTCTCTATACTGATAATGTTCCTGTTGGCACCAGTTAATCTATCATCAGATATTCTTTGATCTTCGCTGCAAGCATCTACTATGCCAGTGCTTCGATCTGTTGAAGCCATGATGTTTGAATCTCTTATCTCCCCGTCTCTGGCCTGGTTTTGCTTAGCCTCCTCAAGCAATATCTGCCTTGCTCTTGCGGTGACCTCATCAACAATTCTTCTTCCCAATCGCCATTCTTGATCAGAATATCCCAGGCTATTTTCTTTTCGCCCATTAGCGGCGTGACTCTTTTCCAGTGATGCTAACTTGAGAGTTTTTCCATTGTCTTTGGGCAGTTTCTGAATTTGTAGAACTTGGCTTCCATCTGGGTCTTCTATAATTCCTTGGTAAAATCTGATGTTTCTTGAAGTTCCATCAGTAGCATCCTCTAATTGTCCCATACTGTCTTTGGTAACAGGAACCGGAATTATACCCATCACCATCTCCTTATCCCATTCAATAGAAACAGTACTGTCAATGGTTTGTGTTAAATTAGCTGGTGATATAGAACCTACTGTGGTCAATCCAAGGAAAGCTTGTGGCAGCTCTGTTAATGAATGTCCTTCTGTTGCTCTTGTATGCTCCGTCAAAGTGTGCTGACCTAGCTCTGTTACTGACTGTGTTAAATATGTGTCGAGGGTTGTTTGAGCCACTGTTAGAGGTCTCTGTTCCACAGTGATATATCCATGGGGTTCATTTGGTGTGGTGCTCTGGTCAACTTCACTAAGCCTGCATTGACCCGCATGACCATTAAATTTCAAAATCATTATCAAGTCTTCTGGTCCCGTTGTAGCTGCAATGACAGTCTGCTCGGCTTCAATAAGCTCAGCACTAAGAGATAAGAGGTTGGTCGAGTTGGATCCATCAATCATACCATATGAAAGTTCAGATTGATGTATGAAGCTGAGGTCACTGCTGATGTCCGAACTATTTAGTTGTATTCTACCAGATGATGATGATGGCGTTGTTGTGGCTACTCTATCGATTTCTTCTGTCATGTTGTGGTCAGATGCAGTACCATGTGACAGTGGAAAAGTTCTGATGAAGGCTTGACCAGTGGGCATTAGCCCATACCTGGTCCCAGAGAGTTTGATAGTGACTGGATTCATATCAGGTGATTCTGATGGCATGGCTTCACTCAAGTGCGTTGGGAACATAATTGTTTCACTTAAAGTTATAGTATCATCATTTTCAATTGCATCACTGGGGTTAGTATCATCTCTGAACATTGTTGAAGCACCGACTGTGGTACGACCAGTGACTGTGCTTTCATCCTTGACCCCTATTGTATCATTGCCTGTTGTTATAAGGAAACTGTTCATAACTCCGTCACCACTGACTCTTGCATCACTGACTGTTGTATCACTGACTGTTGTATCATTGCCTGTTTCACCACCGACTGTTGTATCACTGACTGTTGTACCACTGACTGTTGTATCACTGGCTGTTGTACCACTGACATTTATACCACTGAATGTTGTCCCACTGACTGTTGTACCATGGACTGTTCTACCACTGACTGCTTGTTCATTGCTAAAGCTGGTAAAACTATCACTAACTGTAGGAAGATCCTCTCTTTTAAGGCTTCTGTTTAGAACAATAGCGCCAGCGTCTGAAAGGCTTGTCAGTTCTGGCCGGTGCTCATCTGATGTCAAAGCAGAGTCAACACTGACAAATGACAGTGTGCTGTCAGCTCTTCTAGTATCAGGACTTTCAACTGCCAAATTATGTTGCATTTTATCAGAAAATGATGGGACTGTCAGCACGTCACTGCTAGAACTGTCATCATCCTGTCTGCCAACAATTGATGAAATGTGAGGCTTTACTTGAAATATTCCTCTATCATGTGATTTCAGACAGTTGTCCACACCTTCAGGCTCTCTATGACTGACATTGACTGGTGTTTCATTTGAATCCCTGTTTGTCAGGGAAGGCATCTCCTGTGATCGGCCGATTGCCTGCAGCTCATTTGCTAAGATGTTTTCATGTGACGATCTCAAGTCCTCCTCAATATTTCCATCTTCATCCATCTGTTCCTGGAGGTCAGCTGTAAACACCTTGTCTGATTGATTGCCATCCTGTAGGCTGGAGGGGAGAGAAATCAAATCACTAACGGTAACCCATTCACCTGAGTCAAGGGAATCAATGCTAGCATCATCTTGACGTGAAGTCGTCTCTCCCCTAAAGGCTGCTGATCTCTGTGGAGATCCTAATCTCTCTTCTCTATTTGATGGTATTTTTGAAGTCTTGCCAACTGCCTTAGTTTTGTCATCGTCTAGAACCAGGAAGTAGCCTGTCTGTCTTTGATCTTCATCCACCTTATGCTGACTTTTGATCTCAACAGACATATCTGAATGTGAAGTTAGAATTGTTTTTGTTTCATCAATCATTGCTTGGTCAAATTGTATTGACCGCTCTTTATTCACCTTTGACATTTCCTGCATATCTGTTTGTCCAATTATTGACTGTAGTCTGTTGGAGGAAACATCCTCAATGTCAACATCTTTACGTGTCTCAACTTTCACAGTAGAAGACTTTAAACTACTGAGTTTTTCATCAGTTTGATTAACTGTGTGGTCATCTGTTGTTGGCCTTAATCTCTTCTCTTCAGTTACACGCAGATTTATCAACTGTGGAATGTCTGTGAAATCTTCCATGACCTCCCCTGTGCAGTGTGTTTGACCTTGCCAAGTTCCAGACTTTCTAGAATGTGATTCATTTTCTGTGTTGATAAGATCTGTTTCTCCAACCTGTTTGTTCTTAATTTGACCATTATTTTCACTATCTCTAAGCGACATCTTTAATGCACCCCCTCTGTTTGCACATACTTCACCGGATTGTGTCTGCCATGTGGAAATATCAGTTGTGGTGAAATCTTCATCCGTGTGGTGTTCATTGCCCTGTGATAATTCAGATGTTGTTGGTGAATGTAATGCAGCATTTTCATGAGACAGTTCACATTCATTGATTGAGGTTAGGCCAGATATCAGGGAGTGAGTTGTCACAGAATCACTGACCTGCAATACACCAGTTTTCACGTTGTGGGATAAATCTGGTGTGAAGTCTGATGAGTCATCAATTTCCATGTTTTCTGATGAGCCAAACCCAATGGCCTGAGGTGTATGTGATCGGCCATCCCTAACATCTTGATTTGTTTGGTGTTGCTGTGACAATGCATCTGTAACCAAACTCATCTGTTTCTCAGAGCCAACTTGATCTAATCTGTGACCAGTAATTTGTTTTTCAGTATAGTTGCTACCTAATGCAGGTTGTGATGTGTATGATGAATGTTCCCTGCTCTGTTGAACCACTTCAGATAACGGTATTATCTCAAAGATATTTGTTTCCTCCTCCGAGCTGGTGCTCAAATCACTCTCAACCTTTTTTTGCTCTGAATAATGTCTTGAAATCCTGTCATGTCCCTCAGCTGTCAGTGAATGATTCAGGTCTGTTTTTTCTCTGAATATTGTGTCAAGATGTGTTTCTAGTGGGAATTTCATAACATCAGTGATAGTTACCTCTTCTTCTGTATCAGGCTGTGTTTCTGGTGAGACTTTTATAATGTCAGTGATAGTTACCTCTTCTTCTGTATCAGGCTGTGTTTCTGGTGAGACTTTTATAATGTCAGTGATAGTTACCTCTTCTTCTGTATCAGGCTGTGTTTCTGGTGAGTCTTTCATAACATCAGTGATAGTTACCTCTTCTTCTGTATCAGGCTGTGTTTCTGGTGAGACTTTTATAATGTCAGTGATAGTTATCTCTCCATCTGTGTCAGGCCGTGTTTCTGATGACAATTCTATTTCATCAGTGATAGTCACCTCCTCTTCTGAGTCAGTATCTGCGGGTGCCCTGGTGACATTGTCTGTCTCCCTGCTGGACATCTTTTTTTGTTTTATATTTCTACCTACAGAATCATTGACATCAGTAACAGAAATGTTGAGTTTATCTGACGAATTTATCTCTGTGATGCTTGGGCTCTTGTCAGACTCAAGTTCTGCCAGGGTTGCTGTTTTCATTGTTGGTAGAGTTATAATATCAGTAATTCTCATTTCATCATCAGATCGATCTCCTGGTTGTCCACTGGCATCCATCAATCTTCTATGGACATCTAAAACCAGAGTCTGTCTTCCCCGAGAGCCAAAAGGTGTTTCTTGGTTGAATTGGCTTGGGCTTATTTCTTGTTGGACAGTGCTTGAATCTACAAATCTTGTATGGGAAACAACCATATTAAACATGGGCTTATCAATACCTGATTGTGGGTCCTCGGTGTATCCTGCTCTATACAAGTCTGATCTTTTGACAGTTTCAACTGAGCCAGCATATTGCTTGGAAAAATCAGTTATTTCTCCTACACCATCTCTTTGCCCATGTTTTCGGGCTGTCCCAAGCTTGTCGGGTGAGTGAGGTAAGGCCACGACATCCGTAACAATCAGTTCCTCATCTGAACTTTGAGTAGTGGAAAGAGCATCTTCGTCAGACATCAGGTCATCAGCACAGTCAGTCTGAGTAATCATGGGGTCAGTCTGATCAACTTTGTGAAGAGTTTCGTGCTTTGTTTCTGACGTGAAAAAAACGTTTTCTTGTGCTGACGGTACTTTCACATCACGGACCATGTCTTGAATACCTGTTCTTGGGTGATCCTCATGTTCTTGACTTGCTTCATCATCATTTGTCAATGATTTATCAGATATGTATAATACATCTGTGACAATAACTTCCATACCATCATCGCTGAAACTTGACATTTTCTGTTGCAGCAATGTGATAGGGGCCTCCAGTAAAGGTTCTGTTGATTCATTGTCAGGTGTGTATATTATGTTCTTATTGAAACAATCCACCTTTTCAACATGTTGTCTTTGATGCCCTTCATGACTTTGCTCCGCTGTTTCGCTATCATTTCTATTGGACAATGAGATCACATCTACAATGATTGTTTCCTCATCAGAATCAGATTTTATTTCATGATCCTGACTTCCAGACTTTGAGGACCACTGTCCACTCTCTTCATTGTCTTTTCTCCCAATAGCATCAAAGTAACTTGTTTTCTGAGCCTTTTCTTGTCCTGTAGTGCCTGGTTTAAATGAACTACGATTCACTTTGTCAGTATTTGCTTTTTTATCCCCAGAAAATAGTATATTTGTTTCTCTTTCTCCAGATCTTGTATTTCTTAGACCTTGTTGTGTCACAGGTCCTTCAAAAACTTCAATTTCCTCATCAGAGACCATATTGTTTTCCTGATCTGATGAATGCAGGTGTTGGCGTCTGTACCTCGGTGTGTCACCAGTCACTTGCATCAGTCTCTCACTTCCAAGTGTGTTTGATCCATGAGGTAGGTTTACATCCCATGGCAACAGGTCACTGTCACTTTTGACAACACCGCCACTCCTTCTGGTCAGATCATACCTTCTCCCAGCCAAACTGTGGCCAACCGGCCTGGCCAGATTATCTTGTGAGGCGAATGGCCTTCCCATTCTGGAGCCATGTTTTTGTGAATATTTTGGAAGCGAATATCGAGCAGAATGTCTGCTGCCACTATCAGCTGAGGAAAAATAAGATAGTCTAGTGATGCTATCAGTTGATGATGAATACGGTACCCTGCTGATAACTCTGCCGATACTATCAGCTGGTGCAAAATATGATACTCTGGCGATACTATCAGCTGAAGATAATCTTGTCCTATAAGGTGTTACTGGGGGGCTCCATACATTCTCTTTCCTGTTGGAGTTCTCAAAGACAATCATATCAGTCACTGTAATTTCCTCTTCTGATTCTTGACTGTTTGATCTCACAATAGTATCTGGTTCATCACTGGGAGTTACTGTGATATCTTTCTGTTCACCAAACTGTAATTCTTGCACCTGTGATGTTACACTGGCATCCGTCTTTTCACTTCCTGATTCTGTTGCTGCAAGATGTCCTGAACGACTTTTCCCAAAGCTGTCATCAGTGACTTCAGAAAAGGACATTTCTGATGCTGTTCCTCTGATAGAAAATTGGTCCAAACTTTGTTTCATGTCCTTGTCACTCTCATCAAGATGTATGACATTGTCATTTATCATCTCTGAATATGAGATAGTTTGGACCTCATTGATATCATATGGTCCAGCATCCTTCAGTGATTTGGTCGTATTGATGTTTCTGGTGGCTGCATGTGGTTCCATTCCAATATCGACACTCGATTTACTGTTTATGTGGACCGAATTGATAACTCCAGATGTTTGAATTGACATGTCTGGCAGTCTTTCACTGGTGAAGTCAACTTTTTGTATCATGCTCGTGGGAATATTATCTGTCACATTGACAGTTGTTTTTGATTTGGTATCCATTCCTGTCAAATTGTCTTCCTTTTTCGACCCCAGGGTAGATGATTCTCCATGATTTATTTTTGAAGGACCCAACGTTCTTGTACTGCTTGTCAAAAGTGTCTCTCCAGTAAATGACAGTGTGTCTGAGTGCCCTAACATTTCTGAATCATAATCCAAGTGGTCACTCACAGATTCTGTGCCTATGATGTTATGATTAGTTCCTTGTTTTAACTCGTCTGACCGCGCAGAAAAACTTCTTGTCTCTAAGGATGGCTCTGGGTCCACAGCAATGTCCATTTGTGAGAATGGTGGCTTCATAACATCTGTCAACATTAGGACCTCTTCACTTGACTTACTGACCATTTGGGATGGTAAAAGAGTTGTCACATCTGTCACTGTTAGTACTTCATCATGAGACCTAATGGCCAGATAGGATGGTAAAGGAGTTGTCACATCTGTCATTGTTAGTACTTCATCATCTGACCTACTGACCAGTTGAGATGGTAGTGGACTTATCACATCTAACACTGTTAATATCTCTTCATGTGTAGCACCATCACCTTGAGCCAATGGTAGAGGAATGTTGGCATCTGTCACTGTTACGATCTCTTCGTGGGTAGCACCATCACCTTGAGCCGATGGTAGAAGAATGTTGGCCGCTGTCACTGTTATGATCTCTTCGTGGGTAGCACAACCACCTTGAGCCGATGGTAGAGGAATGTTGCCACCTGTCACTGTTATTATCCCTTCATTTGACCCACTGACCATTTGGGATCTTGGTAGAGTATTTACTGGAAAAATATTGTCCTTAGTTGAATTCGAAGTTTCTACTCCCCTTTCCATTGACTTGATGTTGTCTTCCTTTGAAGCATAGTCAACTGTTGGTTGACAAATTGTAGAGACACTCTCATTGACGACACTTGCATGGCCCTGATTTTTAGTTTTGTCTACTCCAGGCTCCAACAAAGCTGATCCTGCTGTTGATAAAGCCATTTTGTTTCTTTGGCTGATTAAACTTGTTGGAGCCATGATAACATCAGTCACTGAAATTTCTTCTTCTGAGTCACTGCTTTCAGCCTTATGGGCTTTAGTTTCGTGAGTTCCCTCTAGGCTAAGATAGCCTTCTTCTGATTGGTCAGGTCCTGTAAAGCCGAGTTGACCTGTTTCTGTTTGATCGGGTCTGGCAGTTTTGAATTGGCCTTCTTCTGCTTTGTCGGATCCCGCTGAGCTGCTTCGACCTTCTTTTGACTGATCAGTTCTTTGTGTGTTGAGATGTTGTCCTTTTATATGCATGAGATGTCCATCTGTGCATGACAGTAAGTTTAGTGATGTTGGATGTCCGTCTGTGTGTGACTGTAATGTCAGTGATGTTGTATGTCCATCTGTTTGTGACTGTAAGTTCACAGATGTTGGATGTCCATCTGTGTGTGACTGTAAGTTTAGTAATGTTGGATGTCCATATTGTACAAATGTCGAGGCTTCATTGATGGAATGTAAATCCTCCTCAATTTTAATTTTATCTTCATTATTGATGTCGTGAAAATTGATTGAATCTGAGATGGATGCATTGCTGTTATCAACATTTATGGTATCCACTAAGAATTTTTCAGTACTATCAGTACTCATGGTACCAAGTCCAGAATCTTGATGATCACCGTCTTCACCAACCCTGGCTGAGTAAATGGGTTCACACCTTTGAGTTGTTTCTGCATAAGCATCTTGATTCAAACAATTTGATAAATGGGCCATGTCTTGATGCTGAGCGTGACTTGTTACTTGTTTCATTGGTTCCATAATAGAGCTATGATCCTCCAGCCTGGCTTCCGACATTTGCAAATGAGCCACATGTAATGTACCATTCTGTCTGATCTCTGTCAATATGGCTGTGTGTGGTATGTGAATAGCGTCAGTGATAACAATCTCTTCATCAGATTCACTGGTGCCTTCATTTTTCCCTCCAGATCTTCTTTTATCATTTTGAATTTGATCTCCCACAAAGTCTTTGGATGACGTATGGTTTGAGCTGTCTTTCTCTGTATTCTTTTTTCTTTCTCGGTCTTCCTGGCTAGTGCTTCTATCTTCCTGGTTAGTGCCTCTATCTTTCTGGCTAGTGCTTCCATCTTCCTGGCTAGTGCCTCTATCTTCCTGGCTAGTGCTTCTATCTTCATAGATAGTACTTCTATCTTCCTGGCTAGTGCTCATATCTTCCTGGCTAGTACTTCTATCTTCCTGGCTAGTGCTTCCATCGTCCTCTCCCACTCTGTTATAATTATCTGTTGTCATATAACTACCATCTGGAACAGTTTGCAGATGAGATGTTTCAACATAGTTATAATTTGTATTTTGATTCAATGATGTAAGATCATCAAGCATATTTATATGAGGTGCCTGTGTCTGGTTATGAACATAGGTTGACAGAATGTCGTTTGCTGTTAGCTCAGTCTGGTGTGATGATTCTGAAATCTGACCTTCTCCAGTCATCTTATTTTCTGAGCTTGTATCCTGGCCATGTGATGTCTTGCCATCAAGTGTAACTCTGTTCAGTTCATCTGATGTCTGTGTAGATGTTCTGCCTGGTAGTTCTCTATTAGAGTCATCAGTATATCCGTGTGACACAAGAACACCATCAAGAAAAGACTTGTTTCCTTTGCTTGTGCTGTCATCATTTCCTTGCAGTTCTGGGACAGCCAATCCAAGCTCGTCCGTTCTAGCATCATGACTAGGACGAGTTGTTACAGTCAATGACAATGCGGTAGTGAGTATACTCTCAGTTGACTTGGGCTCTGGGATAGGTGGAGTATTTTTCTCAGCTTTCTCTGAGAAAGATTCATTCTGTTCCTGTAAGCTTTCATACAATGTAAACTCAGCTGTGCTAGTCTTCTCCACAGTGGATTGGGATTCCTGTGCTGCCTCAACAACATCATAAATTTCATCCTTCACATCAACAGAGAGCACATCATTGGTTTCATGATTTCTGAGTGATGATGTAGATGGTAAGTGTGATGTAAAACCACCTGAAGTTACTGACATTTCTTTCCTAAATTCATTATGGATGTTCTTTTTTAAAACAGCAGAATATGGACTTAACGTTGTGTGTTTCTTCTGTATCTCAGTTTTGTCAAGTCCACTGATGTCCTCAAACACTCCAGACGTATTCATTGACTTATTTATTCCATTAGGTTCACTAGCACCTCCATGATTAGACGTCCCCCACAAAAGGTAGCCTTCTGACGGATACAAAATGCAAACAATGTTATCCAGGTCAACATCAAACAGGTCATCCGTAGAAGTGGATTCATGGATGGTCGGTCTGGGTGACGACATCTGGAAGGATAAGTCTGTCTGAACTTCCTGGTTCACCAGCTCTCTTGGATGAGATCTGAATGTCTCCATACTGAATGAGTCATCTCCCATCACTCCATCTAACAGAACCGGGTCTGTGTCACGATGAGATTGATATGAACTGCAGAGACTTTCAACTGCATCTAGACCCAAGGGACCTGCGTCCACTATTTCTTGATTTAGTGTTCTGTTTTCAGTGAAGTTTCTGTCTGGTTTTGGAGAGCTTGTTTTAGCATAACGGAAATTGATGCCACTATTCAGGAATGTTGTATCTACTTCTGAACTCAAATTTTGTAAAAGAGCAGATCCCAACTTCAAAATGTCACTACTGTCAGATTGTTTTTTAGTTTGGCTTGCATCGTCTTCTACAGCAGTACTCTCGTCATTAACATGAAGTCCTTCCTTGTCGCAGTGCACCTGGTTTATATTGCTTATTGTTTCACTTCCTAGTTCAAATTTCAATGGAATTTTTTCAGTTTGGTAGAGACTTTTGGTTGTCTGAACTCCCCGCGATTTAAAGGTTACCAGAGGCAGATCCGTCTGCGTCATCGACGAGCATAACATAGCACTGCTGTCAGAGTGTGTCATGGAGGATGACAACAAAACTCCAGCATCAAAACTGTCAAAGTCTTCCACGCTCATGTCACTGCTGGCGTTGACGTCCTGAAAACCGCTTTTGTCCAGGGAGGCTCCAGTTTGGGTTTTTGTGTCCTTTATCTTTATGATGATTCTTTGGGGCCTTTTTGGTTTCGGTGGAGTAGTCTGTGTGGAGATCTCGGACAGACTTGCATTGTCTGTCATTATCTCTTCATCCACAAAGCTATCAAATGGCTCCCATGCTATTGAGCCGTCCCCATCCCCGTGTTTTGAGCGTGCTGTGTCTTGTGAAAGTCTATCATTGAAATTAGGCCCAGGAGACGAGTCAGCACCACTGTGGAGTTGACTATCGATTGATATCACCTCCCTATCTTCTGTATGAACACTGGGATTCCTGGTCCCCGCTTGCTCTTTCTCATGTTGTGCTTTAAGGAACTCTGCCAAAATCTTTTTCTGTAGTTCCAAAGACAGTTGAACTTCTGTGGCCATCAAATCATTTGCAACAGCTCCAAGCTCTCCCGTAAGACCAGCACTCTCTTCAGTTTTTTCTTCGACTTCTATAGCGAGAATTTTACCACTGGAAATGAGAGTTTTCATATAGCTGCCAAAAGAGCTATCAATTTCCCCTGGGGATTGTGGGTTGGATCGGTCACCCAGGTTCTTTAACTCAACATTTACTTCTCTAGTTAAAGACTTCTCTAAAAGTTCTCTTGTCACACCAGCCTGATCTCTTCCTCTTTGAAGATTTAGCAATGGAGGCCCGGTTCCAACCGAAACTGCCGGAGGCCCTGGATCAGTCTGGCAACCATTTTCTGACAGGGGCGGTCTTTGGTCCGGTTTGAATTCCTTGAAATAAGGCACACCTGAGTCAACCTCATCTCTGAAACAGCTGTCACTTGAGCATTCAGAACTGTCACTCTCTGTATCCGAATTATCTATCAGCTGAAGTAACCCTGACTGATTTTGATACTCTTCTTCAAAACCACGAAAGTCTCTTGCATGAGAGTCCCTCCTGTACTGAAACCCAACAGTGCTTATGTGCGAAACATTGGATTCTCTCCTAAGGAACTGATCTTCATCCATATTATCTGAGTTATCTATGATGTTAATTGTGTCTACTTCAGTTACAGCAGGTGGAAATATTTGGTCATTTTCATCGTCATCATTTCCTGCATCCAGCATGTCTGCTGACCTGGATCTGTGAAAATGTTCTTTCTGGACATGCCTAACTTTCTGTTGGTATATGTTGTCCAGGGATGCGGCTCTTTCGAAAACTGGTGGATTAGGGTCATTGTAACCCTTGTATCTGTGGATACTGGAATCTGTCAAACTACTGTTGGTGTGGATACTGTCTGCCGAGCGAGTGCGGTGGTGGCCGAGGCCATCAGAACTGGACAAAAAGTTTTCAAAGGATCGAACTCTTCTCAAGGTAGATGGTGATTCCGACTCCTTTACAGATTGATGTTCCATTGATTTATTGGCAAACAGGTACCAGATGCTGTCTTCTGAAGCACTTGATCTATTTATATCCAACTGCCATTTGAGGACATGGTCCGCAGACATACTTCTCTGATCCAGCAGATCTGCCTCTATTAGAGTTGACATGATGTCAGAGTCTGAGGGAGACTTCTCTCTGAGAAATCTTTGTTGGTGAATGCTTCTCTGAGACGCAATGCTTTGGTCTATTATATTCTCTTCTGACTCAAAATCTTTTACATTACCGTGGTCAGGAGAGGTCTGTGATAAGAGTCTGTCTTCTGTAGACTCGTCTTCATTTAAATTCATGGAGATGTCCTTTGCGTCATTTATGTCTGATCCCCATCCTTTAGGTTTCAAATCAAAGTTTTGCAGTGTTATATGCGACAGTTTAAGTATTCCGTTGTCACCGACATCCATTTCATTTTGAGCGACAGTGGTGTTTTGATCATGGACAGGGGACGCCATGTCACTTGAATCTGACAGAGTTGTATGCGTTTGTTGACTGGTCAGTGTTAAATTAAGTTGATTGTCCATCAGCTCAAGGTAAGGAATGTCATCCATGGACTTTGTCCTCCTTCCAGGCAGCCTGTTCATTTGAAATGGTTCACCTCCTGAATATAGCAACAATGACCAGTTTTTCAGTTTCAAGACGGCATCCACATCTCTCTCAGGGAACCTTCCATGTGGTTTGGGTAAAAGAAAGTCAAACGGAAAAGTCTCATCTTTGGTTAGATTATCTGCAGTACTGGGTACATGTATTTGTTCATTAAAATTGATGGCCTTTCCACTCTCTTTGATACTGACTTTGTGAGTGTTGGCTTGGTGCATCTCAGGGTGTAACTGATTGCCATAGAAAACTGAGACATTTAAACCTTGATTGTCATTGGGGACGAAGCCATAGCCGTGTGGCGAGTACATGGGCGAAGCCCGCGGTGAGTCTGGCTCAGTGAAGTCAGAGCTTATAGCAGAGTCGCTCAGACTTCTAGCGTAGCGTTTGGATCTGAGTTCTGACTTTCTGAGCTGGCTGTTAACTTTCACGTCACTTTCAACGAGTCTGGAGTCATTCTTTCTATTTCCATGCGCATTCAAGTTGAGGTTTAAACTCTCCTGTGCATGCCCAAACACAAATGTGCCTTGCGAGGGTAGGTGCTCTGAGTAGATTGGATGTGGCATATCTCTGCTGTTAGACTTTGGAGGGAAATGTTGGAGACTTTCCTCTTTCTCCCGTGGAGACACCTTAGGGGTTTTGTTTCCCATGGAGCCTGGCGGGCTGTGTAATGTCTCATCACTAGACTCCTGTGTATGAAAGGCTTCCTGGTCATCTGATGTGCCAGAGTAGTGGCCAGATGATGCAGTCATTGGAGTGGACGTGTCAAACAGGCTTGACCATGAAGCAGTCATACTGTCTCCCGACTGATCAGGCAGATATCCTTCCCTGTAGCTTTCTCGCCCCTGGCTTGTTTGTGTTGACATGCGTTTGCGAGTGTGAATATTGGGCAGAGACCTCCTAGGCTGGACAAACTGTTTGTGAACAGATGAAAACTCTGGATCATCTGCATTGATCAAATGAACATCTTCTTGAGAATGAACATCTCCTTGTGAATCTCCTTGCATATAAAGATTTATTTGTGAATGATCATCTTCTTGTGAATGAACATCTTGTGAATGTTCATCTTGTGAATGTTCATCTTGTGTGAAATCTTTTGTAATTTGTTTCACTCTGACAGGCAAAAGTTCGGAAATTTCTGGCATGTAATTATTAATTTCAACAGTTTCTTTTACTGGAACTTGTATAATGCTGGCTTGAGAATCAGTGATCATTGAGTCATGGAATTCATCTTCATTTAACGAAACCGTTGAAGGCAATGAAGTTAAAGGTGTTGGATGGCTTAAGTTATTTGAAATGTTCTGTGGAACTAAAGCTTCTGTTGACGCTGGGTCCTCTACATTTTTACTTTCAGTTTGCTTGTTCAACAATGTTAAATAACTGTTTGATTTATCATCATCTGTCACACTTTCTGAGTCCACTGGTAAGTTATTTGAGTTCAGCTGTTGCCTTCCAGTTTGAACATCTTGGAATATGGCACCGCCACTCATAGCTGCAGCACCACCAGCGAACCTTGTAGACTGATCTTCACTTATGTTTGAAAAATGCTTCTCAGTTTTGTTTTCACTAATGTCACTGACTTGTGCGAGTAGTTTCTGCATGATGATGTTTGTATGAACATCTGGCTCACTGGTGAACTCCCCTTGCTGTGTGGTGGCGTATGACAGTTGCCCTTGCGTCCTGACCAGCTCATGTGTGTCATCGTGGAGGCGGGTTAATGCATCTCCAGTGTTAGAAATATTCTCACACTCCTGGACTGTTTTACGGTCTTCCAGATTGACGTGGTCAACATGTCCCTTCATGAAAGTAGGACAAATATCATCCACAAAGTCTTGGGATACAATTGTTAAATCAGTGGCACTCTGGGACACAGGTGTTAAACCAGTGGCACTCTGGGACACAGGTGTTAAATCAGTGACACTCTGGGACACAGGTGTTAAATCAGTGGCACTTTTTGACACAGTTGTTAAATCAGTGGCACTCTGGGACACAGGTGTTAAATCAGTGGCACTCTGAGATGTAGTTTCCAGGTCTTCATGTCTGTCAGTATCCAATATATTTTCTTCCCTTCCAGTATCGTCCAGGACTTGTTTGCTACTATCTTGTTTATTCAAAAGCCCGTATTTACCGTGAAGATTTGTCAGCTTCTTCTGTCTCTCATCGTCTTCAGACATTCTGCCATTCTTCCTTTTAGGGCTTCTCTTTGGTCTTGGTTCACGAATGTCCTTCGTTTCATCAACACTTGCGGTATGGGCAGGGGGCTCACTGGACCACAGCTCAGTCGGTTTTCTGGACAGGTTGTCTAACCCAGCATGTTGATGCTTCTTCATTTGTATCCCATTCTCTGATCCTTTTGCCCTTTCTCCATCATTTCCATCAATGAAATCATCTTCACCGCTCTGACCAGTTTCAGCATTCTCCAGGCTGTCATCTTCAACAACAGAATCCTCTGTCGACTGCTCTGTTAACAACTTTGTATTCTTGAGATTGCCCGTTTGTGCTTTGGTAAGATCCGATTCATCAATCAATAATCCTTTAATAGCTGGCTTGAAGTGTGCTCTGAAAGACATACTATCTCTAGCGTTGATGGGTGAAGCTGAGGATGCCTTACTGTCCGTTAGCTCAGCATGTCTGTCAATTTTCGTCACCCTGAGAGAATTCTCCAAACCCTGCCTTAAAGACCCTTGCCTCTTTTCATACACATACTCATATTCCTTCACATGTCCCATCAAAGTCCCGTGTGCAAGGGACTGGTCCGAGATTTGGACTTGTCCAGGCGAGGAGCCGATGAAGGAAACCCCTAACGATGCATTGTTTTCGTGGTGAGTGTCTGCAACATCATCTCCACCACTGAGAGAATCTTCGGAGTACAAACTACTGTCTCTGTCTGGTCCCTCAGTTCTGTCCTGCGTGCTGGGAATCGGCTTGTCGATGTCCTCAGCATGGGATACGTGCTGGGGTTTACGCCTTCTACGGGAACCGGAGTTGGGACGTGATGTACTGTGTGTGTTGCTATCTGTGAATGAAGAAAGAATACATTTTAAAACCTATTGTTTCTAGATATTTCCAGCTCTCCCATAATCCCAAACAGGCGTGTCACAATCGCGTTCACATCTATAGTTTGTAATTCTGAACTTACTAATTAGCTCACAACAAAAAATATATTTATTTTTAACGGCCATTAGCTTAAGGCTCAGGAACTAAGTACTCTCAAATTATGCCAGGAATAGGCGTCCTTTACACCAAACATTAGCCCACCCACTGCAATTAACACCCAGTATAACATTGAACCCCCCCCACCCTATGGACTATAACATTAGTCCATAGACTACAACAATGAACCACCCACTACAACATCGACCCACAAACTACAACATCCACCGACCCACTACAGCATCCACCCACCAGATTGTGAAGACTCGTCTGATCGATTGTTTCTCTTTTTGCCATCGGCTGCCGCCTCCTTGTGCTTCTTGCGTCGTTTTCTCTTGGCCTTGTGTGCACGACCAGACTGACCAGCAGATGACCTGAATCAAATGTCACAAAATATGTGGATAAAGTGAGTGGATCTGTAACAGACCGTGTTTATTTTTACGGGTACTTGTTATTTACATTAAAACCAGACAGAAATACACAGATTTGGTACGATGGTCGTCTAAGAAGTAAGATCTACCAACAAAATCCCCGTTTTTTTTTCTTTCAAATCTCGTGAGGAAGATATTTTTAAAAAGCAGCTATGAAATTACGCGTGGCGCAGTCATGTATGTCACAGAAACATTCTAGTGCAGCATACTAACGAGGACGAGCAGACTCTGCTACATTTTGACTGGGACGGTCAGTATAAAGGTGTCCAGTCACAAAGATGTGGTTTAACGTGTGCCGGTGCCGATCGTTCGTCGTGAGATGCTGCTCAATACATCTTAACATTCGACATCTTAACATTTGACATCTTAACATGCGATATCTTAACAACATCTTAACATACGACATCTTAACAACAACTTAACATACGACATCTTAAAATACGACATCTTAAAATACGACATCTTAACATACGACATCTTAAAATACGACATCTTAAAATACGACATCTTAAAATACGACATCTTAACATACGACATCTTAACATGCGACATCTCAACATACGACATCTTAACATAGTGAGAATCATTGAGGCAAAGTCTAATTTGCCACTCCTTAATTACTTCAACCAACACCACCATCAAACTCATGTTATTATTTCCAGTCACAGAGTTCGACTCAAGTCACTGCGTTAACCTAAGTCTGGGTGAAGGAAGTATGCAGGGATGTTTAGGGGATGACATGCAACAAGTAGCACACATCATGACATTCAAATGCGACCAAATATGACATCCAGCTTTAATTGGTGATTAAAATCGTTCATCATTGCCATCGTTCTAGCTTCAATGATGTCAATGATCTTTCAAACTTCAAATGAGGTCACTGATATTTCTAACTTCAACTGACGTCAATGATCGTTCTAACTTCATATGACGTGACTGATGGTTCTAACTTCATATGACGTGACTGATGGTTCTAACTTCATATAACGTGACTGATGGTTCTAACTTCATATGACGTGACTGATGGTTCTAACTTCAAATGACGTGACTGATGGTTCTAACTTCGTGTGACGTGACTGATGGTTCTAACTTCAAATGATGACACTGATGATTCTAACTTTAACTGACGTCACTGATCTTTCTAACTTCAAATGACGTCGCTGATCGTTCCAACTTAAAATGACGTCACTGATCGTTCCAACTTCAAATGACGTCAATGATCTTTCCAAATTCAAATGACTTCACTGATCTTTCTTAACTTCAACTGACGTCACTGAAACTTCCGATGACGCCAGCGATCTCTGACTCATTGATTAAAATGGGTCACGACTATAATTTTTGTTCAGTACCATGTCAATTCATAGCAACTTCTTTTTTTACACACAACCGTTATATTTATCTTATTTCTTTTTTTCTCTTGACACCATCTATCACTCAAACCCATGGTCACCACTGCCAAACCCTCTGGCCAAGCACTCAACCACCTATCACATTATCCAGAGGAGCACCACGTGTGGCGACCACCTATCATCCTTTTAACCAATTTGCACATACATTCAACCACTGGGCCTAATCATTAAACCACTTGACCCAATCATACGACCACTGGGCCTAATCATACAACCACCTGACCCAATCATTCAACCACTTGATCCAAACATTCAACCACTTGATCCAAACATTCAACCACTTGACCCAATCATTAAACCACTTGATCCAAACATTCAATCACTTGACCCAATCAATAAATCAACCACTGGGCCTAGTCATACAACAACCTGACCCAATCATTCAACCATTGGACCCAATCATTCAACCATTGGACCCAATCATTAAACCACTTAACCCAATCAACCACTAGCCTTAACGTCAACTAACCTGATCCATATCCACATAACGGCCATCAACAAGAAAATAACACAACCCACGAATCCAGTTATCCACATGATAAAATTCCTAAATGGACACGATGGCGGCACATGTTCTTATCCAGCTGTCACAACTAATCCACAAGTGAATTATCAGAATCCAAGTTTTGACTGTATCCACCATCTGTCATTAATTAAGTCATCCAGTCATTTCTAAGAGCCATTAGTTTGAATGTGTAGTGTTTGAATGTGTAGTGTGTAAAAGTAATCTCCGCTATGTAAAACAGAGTTCACGTAGAGTGTTATAATTATTATCCTCAGATCGTAAAACAAGAAAAACCAGCCAAATCAAAACTATTTTGCCTGTTGCATGAACAATTCCATAACAGTCTGTCAGTGACACGGCATGACATTGACAGTTACAATTTTAGTCGTTCCATCAACACCCTCCTTCAATTATCTCCGTGAATGTCATTTTCGAGCTTTTCACACAGCACATGACATGCTAAATGTCGTGCTGGGGAAAAAAGCCATTAAAACGACCGGTTGTCATTTATGAGACATTAATTATTGCGGCTATCTGGGTTAAATATTATGTCACTTAGTGCCTAAAGAAGCTAGGTGTGTATGTCGGTGTCAGAACCGAAGATAAGATTCCTCAAGACAAGGGTTAGATAAAACGCCATTTAAAAACAAAAAAATGTCCTAGACAAGACACCGTAATAGAATCGATAGCTTCAATAGGAGGTGTGTATTAGCTTCAATAGGAGATGTGTATCAGCTTCAATAGGAGGTGTGTATCGGTAAGCATTATAGTTAACCTTAACAATACAAGACCAGTGATTCTCAAACTGTCGTTAAAAGCACAAAATTTTAAAACTAAAGAGCTTTGACTGTGCAGCTGTTTTTGTTTTCAACAATCACTGCCACATAAATATTAAAAGAAATGCTTCAAAAACCGAACATGTACAAAACTATGACTAGTCTGCGTGACGTAGTTGGTTTTTCATTTAAAATATCTGGTTTAGAGCAATGCGCCTCGTTTGGTGGTCCGGGGGCCAGTCCGCGAGCCTTACGTTGCCAGTCCGCACAACATGAATATTTATGGTCGAATAAAAAATTAAGCGAAATTAATAAATATGGCACCGGTCCCTGCTACAATTTCAAAACGT